AATGTGAGTGAGGAAGAATGTGCTAGAATCCCAGGTAATGATTTGGGGTACCTCTTTCCGACGTCAGGTCCGGTGGGAAAAATCCGTGCAAGACTTCAGCAAGTCCATATAGACAAGACCATGAGGGGCTCAGACCTTGTGGAAATACGGATTTGGGTCCTCCGCTTCAACCCCCCACACAAAGAACTCCCCCAGCTAAGATGCTCCCATGCAATGGGTGGAAGGAGAACCCATTTTAAACGTCAGACACCATCTCTTGATTAATTGTAGAAACTAAGACCCTAGTAACTACCCCTCTTTTCAGCTTTGCTTTCTTAAGCATGTATTTGTAAAAATGAAACCATTTCCTTCTTTTTCACAGCATGAATAAAAGAAGTGCTGAAGGGGGTTAGCCATTAAGTCCTTAGCTTATAGGATGGTAAGGTGGGATTATGACCGACCTGGAAGAGGAAAGGATATTCCCAAGAGATGTGTACAGTGATTCGTGGACTATGCCCTCCCTTTTAAGGGAGTGAGTGAGTGTAAACAAGGATGACTGAGAGTGCAAGTAAGTGTCCACGGAAGAGAAGGTACGTTGGAGAGGAGTCACAGCACTAGCTCTCGGCATACCTTCTAGTGAGTCTTTGCAGGAACTCAAAGCAGGAATTTGCATTTCCCAGCTTCCTTCACAGACAGGGTTTGAAAATGAATTAAGTCCTTCCGTTAGATAAACATATGAGATCTGGAAGGTGGAAGTTAGATGGGAGCTACGTTCTGGATGTTTCAGAAAGCTGAGTCAGGGTGTATACATATATATATATATATATATTTTTTTTTTTTTCCTTCATGAATAGGCAAGACTCCACTACCCCAGCATTTTAAATATTTTATCAGTACCTAACACTCTATATTAACTAATTTTATGCCGGAAATAGTTGGAGTGGTTTCATTTCCTTAATGGAATCCTTCCTGGCACAATTTTTAATGAAGAAATGTTAGAGGCATTCCCCTTAAAATAAGAGAGGGTATGAAGATGACCATGCTTACTACTTCTGTTCACTATGAAGAGTGGAGGAAGGCAAGAAAAAAGAAATAGCATTTATAAGAACTGGAAAAGAAGAAACAGAACTCATAGACTGCGGCCAGGAGAGCGTATTGTCAACACCTGCTCTTGACCGTGAGAATGTCTTCTAGGTATGGCCCCTGAGATATTCTCACTCATGGATCCTAATGTTCTTAACACTGTTTGCAATAACACAGAGTTGATTTTCGAAGTCGTAGGTTATCACCGGGTTGAGAATTCCAATCTCTTTCTTACCTGTTAATATAGTGGACAAAATATTTCCCTAAGGAGCATGTTTTGTAATCGTGCCCCTTTGCAGAGGCAGATCATTCTGTTTTTGTTTGGGGATCTCTACTACTGGAGAAAAGGGAAAAGTCTTTGTATTTAGAAAGTATAAACTCTGAAACTTCAAGTTATTGGTACTAGTTCCAACTTCCCAAATTCTTCAGATTCACAGATTTAGTCCCTCATCTACATTTAAATAGTGCTATAATCTTTCGTGGTTTTCTCTTTCTGGTTAAACATTTCTGTGTTTCTATAGCATAGTTTAAGATTATCTTGAATTCTGACTATTGATCTCCATTTAATATGTCCCTGTGTCTTTTTCCATCTTAACCTTTATGCTATGCACATAACATGACATTTTTGGTGTGCACTTGACAGTTCAAAAATAGAGTATCGGTTACATATTTTATTCTAGAGAATACCTTTCTATTAATTTATTCTTTTTCATGAAGATTAGTAGTAGCCATGTTGCATTATTGACCCAAATTCCGTTTTTATCTATCCTAACATCCCTCTGCTAGAGGACCTAGCTGAAATAGCCAACAGACATTAGACTCACCACTTCCATCTGGGAGAGGAGAATAAATCTCACTGTCACTGTTTAAGCTTGGCATCTCTTGTTCTTAGTGGGGATTCTCCCTTCTGTTCTCTACTCTCCTATATCTGTAAACACTCAACAGCCACCTAGTCTTAATATCCCACACTATAATTCCCTAGCCCAACAACTAACCTCCCCAGACCCGGATATGCACTGTTTTATCTCACTGGAGATGTACTCCCACTATGTCATTTGGTTGCGGCTCTAATAACCTGTTTATTCTTTGCCAATCTTTTCCTCCATGTGGGCTAAAGTATAATCTGTATTGCAGACCCTGTCAGGATCCACATTAATACCACTGTGAGGGCATGGAATGAGGAAATTTTACCCCTCTGATTGATACACCTCAACACCTCAATCAGCCAAGTAGGATGGAAAACTGCGCCCAGGCCACATCTCCTGTGGTCGGGTGGACATTGCCATCTTTCTTCCCTATCTTGCTTCCCCATGAAAGAGTCCTGCTTTCCAATGGCACAATGAAGCTCTATGGATAGCTTAGGGCCCCAGAATGAATCACCTTTCTCCTGAGTTCCTCCTATCTTTTCTCTGCACCTAGTTATTTTTCCTTTTTCTGTACGTTCCCACTGATATCTTAGTCACTGGAGAACAGCCTGTACGACTACATCAGCCTCTTCAAATAGATATTTTTTCCTTACTTAGGTCATATGTTAGTACATCTTCCTGATTTCATTATGAGAGTCTTCTATCATTCTTGAGCCCTTTTCCCTTTTAAAGTCTCCTGCTGTTGGAACATACCTACATTTGCTCTTCGAAGTTTAGAGAGACCTTGAATCTTTTAATTTATTTGACTCAGCCAAAATTGCTGGTGATACAAAAATCAATGATACAGCATGCCTTTGAAGACTCATGCCCAGTTAGGCTAGGTGGGCAAGGGAAGACAGTGCCTTACAGTATAAATTGGTAAGGGCTCCACTAGATGGCCTGAGCACTATGTGAGGGCACCGAGGGAAGTCCAGGGCACCCTGCAGAGGTTTTGCAAAGCGAGTCGGAGTTTGCCTAATACAACTCAATGATGGTGCATTTCTGACAAATGGGGCAGCATGCATCAACGCCTTGTTACATGAGAGAGCCCATGTGTCTGGAGAGCAGGGAAGACGCTGTTATGGCTGGAAGATGGTGTAGAGTAGGGGAGTGATCAGCAAGGACAGCAGGAGCGAGATTATGAAGAATGTGCATGATCCTGCTAGAGTAGAAATCTCATCAAACAATAAGAAATAAGAAGTATCCACATAAGAACCTTCAACCAAGAAATGATCAATTCTATGCTCTTGGGGGAAAAACCCCTCTCTGAGATCTGACAATTAGTTTGAGGGAATTCTAATATTTTACTTTTATAAGACAGGTGGCTTGAAACAATTCTTTTTGGAGAGCACCTAACCACCCACCATCAGTTACAGAGCAATGCTCACACATGCTGGGAATTGCAATTTCTAGGGTTAATGCGTCTGGGGTGTTTATCCACCCCACCTCTACATGAGTATCCCCCCCAGGTCAGCATTCACATTCCAAGTTCAGCCACGCATAGCTGTTTGATGGATAGCAACAGAAATTGCATATTAAAGCTTATTTGGGGATGTATGGAAGTGTTGGGTCACCATACTGTGCACCTGAAGCTGGTATAACACTGTATGTTAACTAACTGGAATTAAAATAAAAACTTTAAAAAAAACTTACCTTGGGACCATGGGAGAGACGAGACTGAACATTTTCTCAACGTATTACCCCAGCACATCTTCTTGTGTCCCTTAGATGCTACGAAAGACATGTTGTCTGCAAGTATGATTTGAACTTGCTCACTATTACATCACAAAGAGCTGTCACAGGGCCTAGAAGCTAATGTAAGCATTCAATAACATTTATTGCATGAATGAAAGAAGCAAGCAGAAGTCTCACTGAGCCACAGTACAGCCTTGGCAAGTGGTTGGTGAGAAGGCAAATGAGGAATTGCTGAAGTGATAGAAGATTCTAATGGGTTCGTGTCAGGCAAAAATGTGGTAGGGCCCTGAATCATCCCCCAAACTTGACCTTGAAATATTCACTTCTTCTTCTTGCATGTCCTGTCAGAGAAAAGGGGGACAAGAAATTCAGGTAGAGAATTTGTCTAAATTCATGAACTAATTGCAGGTTCAAATGCAAGTTTAAAGATTCCAAAACGTTGTAGGGAAAGGTGACTTTTTCTACCACTCGTGTTTTTCAATTCTTTCTTTCTTGGTTATACCTGAGTTATGGAATGCATAAATCCGTACAGTGACTGGGGCTATAAAAGAAAAAAATGACATACCTGTGAGTGAAAGACAGTGCAGGGCAAAAGGATAGGAAGTATTTACTTGTCACTGGATGTCTCCTTATTTTCTGAGTCTGACCCATCTTTAAAACAGTTAATGTTTAATCTCCTGTTTTTCCATTCATACACTTAGCCTGAATTTAGCACCTGATATTACCATAGACTATGCTTAGAGTTGAATGAGGTTAGTTTTCTTCTTATGTGTCTGTTTACCTCTTCAAACTTCCACAGGACATATCACCTCACCTTACCATAATTACCACACAATAACTTCTATATTGATCAGTTTGTCAATGAGCAATAGAAAGCGTGTAGGGAATGGCAGGGGCCAGAGTTAGTCATTTTTCCATCGGTGGCTGAAGCATTGTGTCAACTCAAGAGCAGTCTTCACTTGCATGTCTAAAAAGGTGTGAACAGTCTACATATTATTCATAGACTAGCAACTCCGACAAAAGCAGATCATGATATTTAATCTCTGGAAAGGCACTTAAAGGATATGTAGGCTTACTCTGTGTATTACTTAGGAGAAATCAAGATTGAGAGAAGTTACAGTGAAGTACCCCAAATCACACACTAAACTGATAGCCAAGTCAAGGTAAGAACCGTATCTTGTTAATCCAATGTTGTTTCTACAATAGTTCGTGGTGGTTAGTGTTATATGGGGTCATAACCTACAGAACATATGTTTTCCTTGGCATACTCCCTCATAGAGTAGTCATTAATCATGTGATTTCAAGCATTGCTCATTATAGCTGCCATTTACTAGGCACTTTTTATATATAGGATACTTTTTGCTCATAACTGGCCTAATGTTCATGACAACCTCATATGATGGATATCCTCCTTCCTATTTCCCAGATAAAAACAGTGAGGCTTAGGAAAGTTCACAGCCTCACCTCACCGCCACTCTGCTGTTAATCCTGAAATGAACACCCTAACCCAAATTTCATCTAACGAGCATCTCTGTGCCCCTAACAAGTAAGCCATTCTTCCTGAGTCAGACTTAGCCTGAAATGAAGAGGTAAGATAAGCCCTTCTCTACAGTTCCTTTCTATTTCAACAAGCAATGATTTGGTTCCCAGTGCAATTATGGAAGTGTGTGGACTCAAAAACAATCATTAACTCAAAGTCAAAGCTACTGGGAATTCAGTGCTAAAATTTGTATTTACTTTCCCCCCCACAAACGACAGTGCACTGAAGTCACAGCTCCTACCTGTCCAACAGATGTTGGTTGTCACACCGAGAACAGCGGGCAGCTCTAATGGGAATGGCCTGCAAGGTGACCCCCGCTCACTTGTCCATTAACATGCTTACCTGCTTTATTTGAAAGGATGGTACAACTACGATTTTCCTTTGAAACTGTACAAGTGTCATGCTGACAAACTTTGATCTTTTCCCAAATACCAGAAATGTATGACTTAAAAAAAAAATGTTCTGCCTTCTTATTATTTTAGAGGGACAGCTAACAGTCTTTGCAGGGGAGCCAGCGATCCGGTCAGTTCATTTTCCATGTCCTGGTGTCCTTCCGTCTGCTTGTTCTGCTCGCTTTGAAAATGTTGTGCTCATTAGCATCCCCATCGCACACCGAAGAAAGGCAGGACCGAGAGAGCTGCTTCTGCCTGCTTCAAAGCAGCGGAACAGATAAATAAGGTGAGTAAAACAAGGATCTGAGAGAGTCCCTACTGTTTCTCCATATTTTTACTCTTTCTCATCTACATGAATTTTACAAGTCACTAGTTGAATATTTAGCTTCATCTCCTGTGGGTTCTATTTCCTGTAAGAAAACCCAGAGAGTAGCAATGGATAATGGGATTATTTAGAACCTCGATAACGTATTTAGCTTCTTCCATTAGTTCTTGCTTTTACATTTCTCCATAAAAGAAATGCATTCTAAGAATTCACTTACAAAAAGAACCTTAATATTTTTATTAGCAATTATGCTCAGAATCCATATTTCTCAAATGGTGACCCCAAATCCCCTCCTAGCCCAGGAAATATTCTTAGAGGCCTTCAGCTTTTCCATGTTTTTACACTAAGCGTTTGACTTTATCTTTAATTAAACCTTTACTATAAGCATAGTCTGAATCATCTGAATGACGCCTATAACTGAATCCCAGCTGTTTATTTCTGCTACAATAATTACCTTTGTGTTTAACTGTAGTCGGGGTAAAGACCTCATGTAAACATTTGTGGTATGCTGGAGAAAGGAGGGTTTTGCAGTAGTCTGAGAAAAGTGGTGGAGGAATGAGTCCATAACACATCTCTCACTGGCAGAGGATGGTTGAGTTCAAAAAGACCCCTGCAATCCTCAGACGTTACCACCTTCAGATTGTGAGCAGACACATTTGTCAATTTACAACAGTTTATTTTCAGTGAAGACTTCTCTGCTCCTGATCCTGCCAGTGATTACCATATATGCTCATGAAATGCAGAATTCAGTAATGCAGCTATGCAAACTTTGTATTCAAATAACACATGAATGCTAATTAAAATCATCATTAGAGAAGATTTTGTGACAGAGTTTTTCATTAAAGTGAGAAGCTTGATTAGCTCCAGCAGTCAAGTCAAAATTATTAATATTTTATAAAACATACCAATGCAAATAGGCATTTTCTATATTGTATATTTAAGTCAACATGGGACAAAATGCTAAAATCGAAAGAGAGAGGGCAAACTTTTCCTTATTATTAAATACATATTCTTTCTTGTTAAAGCCAGTGTTTATAGTTTAATTCCAACAAGATAATCTAGTTAAATAAACATTATTGATTGGAAATAAATTTATTTTTCTAGTTTTATTTTCATTTATTTTATAATTTCTTTGGATTTTATAGGTGCACTGGACTGGTAGGAATAAGGAATTCATATAGGTCATGCAGATTTTAGTTACTATATGATGAAAACATGAGGAAATTTTTATTTAAAAAGAGACTGTATGTCATAAAAGTCTGAGAATATACCGTGATATGCTTCACAAATGGTAGCCACCTGGTAGAAACTTTTCAATATACTGGAATCCCAGAACTGGAAGAGAGCTTAGTTTACGTCTATTCTACTCCCCCGATTCAGGCAAAATGTGGACTCAAATAGTTGGAACTCATGTCCAGATCATTTAGCAGGTTAGTCATTCAATCAAGTCATGTTTCTGAGCACTTAAGTCCTTGGAGCTGAGAATAAAGTGTATACACATGGCTAGCAGAGTCCTACTTGGAACCTACATCTTGTATGACCAACTCCCATGTGTTTCTAGTTCCCCGTAAGTCTTTCTAAGTCTGCACACCAGCCAAGATGAAGCCCGACTTCTTACGCAGAAATCCAACAAATCTTAGGGACCTCCTCCATTCTGGATTCTATTTCCATTAACACCACAGTTCATTCTGAAATTAGTTGAGAGGGCTGAGATTTTAATTTTTATTATAGAGAAGCAGAAGCAAGGAAATGAGCCAAAAAAAATATCTGACCTCAGGCTAGCCATACAAAATGAACTGTGGCTTTTTCTTAATCAAGGACAGTGTTGTATTGTCTTGATATTGAAGGACACAGCCTTGTTATTGTCCATGGATCTCTCCAACTATGATGACAAATGGCAAATTAATATGGAAAATGTGTGATTCATTGAAGGTATCTGTGTTATTTCTATGCTCAGTCTCTAGGGAAAGTTACGAGGTGACATGTTGTGTCATCAGGCGTTTGGTATGAATATCAAACTGCATTTGCCATCAGTCCTCTGAGCTCTGCTCTCAATGATGTTTGACCTGTATCACCTTGAATCCCTAGGATTTAGGTCCAAGGGACCTTGAAAATGGTGGGTGTTTCCTTTTCCACATTTTGTAGCGAGCCTGATAAATGGAAAATTCAAAGTCCCTGTGTGTAATAATATGGCATGGTTTTTCTAAAAAAATACTTGCTTTCATCCAAGGAGCACTGAGTCTGTGTGATAGTTGGGTGAGAAGCTCTGACTTCTGTCTGGATACGCTGAGAAAGGCATTTTGTAGTTGACAGTAATACCCTTCACCAAGTATCCCGAACTCTCCTTCGTGGAAGCATGGGGCAGAATGGCTCTTTGTGATCCCGTGAGGGTCTGACCCTGTGGTCCACTTCGTCATGCTAAATTCCACAGTTGTTTTCTTTAATTGAAATCTAGAGAAACAACTCTAATTAACTTAAGGAAGAAAGGCACTTATTGGAAGGATAGTGAGCAGCTCAAAGAATTGAAACAAGAGCTGGATAAGCAGGCCTCCTCCAGCTTAGGTACCAGCAACAAAACTCTTGAGCATCTATCTTGTGCGTTGGTTTTGAACCCTGGCTACACAGTAGACTCAACGGCAGAACTTGTAAAAAGCGCTGATGTTAAAAATATGGGAAAAACTTGAGGTATCACATTAAGGGCCCCGTGGCTGAAATTAATTGACAGTAATTCAAAGAAGCATTTTCAAGTCTAAACCTGGCAACTAATATCTAGAGTGTGCCAAGAATTCCTGGAAATAAACAATAAATCAAAAGCAAAAATATAACCAAAATTTAGTAAAAATCAAAATTTAAACTCTGATATCACAATGAATGAAGGTTATGAAGGGATAATCTCCATAAGGAAAAAAAAAAAAAAACCCTAAAGCTAACCAATTTATGAAGAGATACTCAGAATCATTGACAAATATAGAAATGAAACATAAAACAAAAATATCCCCTTTGAAATTTGAAATGAAAAAAATTAACACACTGGCTGTTGCCAAGAGTTAGTGAGGATGTGAACATATATAAAACTTCATGCCTTGCTATTGGGAGTGTGGACTGGGGCAGCCATTTGTAAGTGATTTGGCCATCTGTCATTTAGTCAAATTATGCACACAGCACAGTATTCCTCTTAGCTGTCTACCCCCCAAGAAATTCTTACACAGGTCCCTAAGGGGACGTGTTGAAGAATATTCATCACAACATTATTTGTGTTACGGTGAGTTGTTTTCAAGTTGACTGTCCATCCCTGGAAGAAAAGAAATTTAAAATTAATAGATATATACCAAGGGGAATTGTGCAGGAGCTAAAAGCAGCAGTTAGAGGCAATGGATTTTATATAAATATAAATGTATGATTGGGAGTATTAGGTGAAGAGCATGGATAGATGATAGATGATAGATAGATAGATAGATAGATAGATAGATAGATAGATAGGTATTAGATAGAGAGATGTTAGATAGAGAGATAGATAGATGATAGATGGCTTTTAAAAGCATTTGCTTAGTGAAGAAAGAAAAAATAGAACATATTTAGCTCAATCTTTTAATGGTAAAAGATTTTAAAATGCATACACACCAAACAAAGATACACATTTTTTTTCTCAAGAATGCAGTAAACAGAAGTATCCTATAGGGTAAGAGAAGTTAATTAGAGTGTAATATAAAATACATCTCTCTCTCCCTGCCCTCCTGTCCCTCTTTCTCTCTCTCCCATTATTTTTGGAGAGCTCCCCAGGTGATTATAATGTGCAGTAAGAACTACTATTGAACAAGACATGAACGTTAACAAAAGAATAAAGTCTCCAGTGATTTTTACTCCTCATAAATGTCTTCACACAAGTTCTCAGCTCTCCTGCACGGGCGATGTGTGCACCCCTAGGTTCCTGGACTCCTCCTACCTGCATACAGAGTGAGAGGGGCTGTTGCCCAAGAAAAGAATGCTGGACAGCCCCAAGCCCCAAGTGGGCCCTGCAGCCCCCAATGTTAAGTAGAGCAGATGTTTGGATGTTTCAATTCTCAAAATATATTTAAGACAAGATCTTTGATTCCAGGATGATAAAGATTAATTAGTGTATTGACAATGAATCTCCATACATTCAGGATTCGATTTATTTCACTTAAAGAAATGGTGGAGGAATCTTGAGTGCTTTCTTACTATGGTAAGTGCAGGGGACAAAACACAAATATATTTTGGATCTTGCATAGGGAATTCCAGGCTAGATGGATTTCCACCTGTCGGTACTACATAATGTCTTAGAATGAGATATTTATCAGATGTTTGTGAATGATTAGGAAAAACTACCTAAAGCGATGAGTTGGGTGAGGTGTTTAGGCAAAACCCCCAACATTAGCCCTGAAAGTTCTTGACAATGATCTTGAATCTCCAGCACTGGGTGGAACTCTGTTCCCTGTGCTCTCCTCTGGCACCTGCTCGGACAACCATTTAGATCATGACTTTGTGCAGATCTCCATTGTAATTACCATGTATGTGTTCTAACCATAGAATCACATTTAGATCCAGAAGTGACCTTTGGGGTTCTTCTTATCCCTGCTTTTACTTTTATAAAAGAAAGAAAGAAACTCAAGTCCAAAGAAATGAAGTAACTATAGCTAGAAGGTAGGAGAACCAGGGTCTCGTGCCAAGCTTTCACTCGGGTATCAGGACAATTTCATGGTTCTTTCCACATTTGTCTTCCCAAGGGGATGATGTGTTTCTTGTGCATTCATGGTAGATGATACATAGTGGTCTAGAACCTTCATGTCTGCACAAATGATACTGAAATGCTCAGTCACTTTATTTTCACAGCTTCATTGTTTAAAATTTGATGTACTAATGCTCCAGTGTTTTCAGTCATAAGTAACATAGTATTGTGGAGCCGTTAAATGCATTTGTCCAGTGTGTATGTGTATGTGTATGTGCTATGTAAACATGTGCATATGCTTTATATGAAGTATGTATGTGCGTATAGAACCTTCTATGTCCAAGACCCTAGTCTAGAGACAGGGAATGTCGTGATGAAGAAAAAAAGATATAATTCATGCCCTCAAGTAGTTATAGTTCAGGAGAGATGGTTTCTATCAAAACAAGCAAACAGAGCAGCCCCCAACTCAGACTGTGATGTGGCTTTAGGTGGTGAAGTGTTTGTGCTCATACTTGTGTGTGGGTGGGTGTGTGTGTGTGTGTGAGAGAGAGAGAGAGAGACTGAAGGAGGAAATGTGGAATAGGACATGAGATAAAAAGAAGTTATGCATTTCTTTTATATAGGTCTTAGAAATTTGAAGAAAATTGTATTTGTTTGGGTGGATTTAGGTGAATATTTTCACAAGAATACCTTCCAGGTGCCGGAAATCGCTGGGCTGGCTGCGCTCACCAGCCATGTGGGGGCTGCCTTCTCTCCTTTCCAACATCTTCTCTCAAACCCAGAGCGTGATTTACCAACTGATTCTACTCACTTTGCATTTTATGAGCTTTCACCCTTGCGATGTTTCATCTGAAAACATTTCCCTAATCTTGTCTAAATGTGTGTGTGCTTTATGTGGAGGCACAGGGACTCTGGGTGACTATAGCTTCTGATTATCATGTGTTCTTTAGTGCACATTGAAGTCTGTACGCAGGACCCTGATTGCTGAGTTGACCTCCTGTGACTTCTCCCCAAGTCATCCTCAAATCTGTGCCCATTCTTCTCAGAACAACACATCCCCAGCAGCCCTTTATGAATTATCCCCCCTTCCAAAGCCTCACCCTTGGACTGTGTTCTGAGCATGAGTCTCACTTGTCCAGACGCTGGTGAGCATTTCCACTAGCAACACAGGACATGCACGCAGGATGCGTTAATTTTCCTGAGAGGTAAACTGCTCTGACTTCTTCATTTCTACGGATGCTCTGGCATTCTCTTGATCATTCTGGTTTAAGAACTTAAAAGCATTTTAACTCATCTTACATTTTTACTTCTTATATCCATTCAATCACCAGATGCTTCTGATTCTTTCTTTGCAATCCTTGTGCCTGAGATGGAAGTAAATTGATGGTAAGAAGACACCGACAGGTTAAGAGGCATATGGGTGCTGACCACTGGGAAAGACTTTGGCCGGGATCCCTTGTCCAGGAGAACATTGTGCATGCTTTGCTTTGGTTCTGAAAAATCATTGTTATGGGAAGCTTCCTAAAGTAAAAGAGATGTGTCACGTGGGTGAGTTTAGTATTCTGGAAATAAACAATTTTATACTCTCTCAGAGAAAAGAGATGGGAAAATCCAAAGTATTTTCAAGATTTCATCTTGGAGCAGGGAGACATGGCAAGTCAATGTGTGAGGGAGGGCATGCAAGAATTAGCGTCGTTCTTATAAAATAGGAAGAAGGCTTGGAAAGCACACCGGAACCTTCAACATCACAGGAAGAAAAAAAAAGAAAAGAAAAGAATTCAAGCCATGAAGATAAAGAAAGGGCAGAAGAAGAGAACATAACATCAACTAATCATTACATGTAAGTACAACTTTTTCAGATCCCCATTTTCATTATTACCGTCCATGAATGTTTAACGATGGCTTGCGAGACCCATTGTTCCCATGCTTTCTTCCCTGTAATGTGGCTGCAGATATCGGCTCTGATCCGATGGTTATTTCATAGAGTCCCCAGGATATTGGGTGGTGGCAGATGCAGGCAACGTATCGGGGTCTTGTCGGTGAGATGTGGTCCGTGGGAGGTGGTTCAGTGGCTGAGAGACCTGTCACAGGCCACAGGTGGCAGAGGCGTGGGGAGTGGTGACAAGAAGCCAGTCATGCCTCCAGGGCGGGAGGGATCAGGGCATGGGTGGTGTTGCCCACACCGTGGTGGGAGCTGGAACCATAGGAGAGTCAGTACCAGCCAAAGGATGCAACCCGAAGCAGAGAGGAGGAGGAAGAAAGATCCCGGCGTCTCCTTTCTTCCTCCTCCTGGCAGCTCTCGAGGAGCCAGCTGGCGAGGGGGCCCGGGACGCAGACCCCGGGGAAGGCAGGGCGTGGGGTGGGCTGACAGCCAGCAAGCCAACACCAGTGCAGGCAGACACTGGCTGAACTTCACGATCCCCAGACTATCTTTATTTTGCACGAGCAGATGGATGCTGTCTTGGCTTGCCACAGTGTTCTTGGTTCTGGTCCTGGTCTTCTCCATGATTTATAATATTGCTCCACTGCCATCCAGCTACCAGGCTTTTCCATAAAGAATCTGATTTCATTTTTATGTTCCCCATCACAAAATGCACATTATATTTCCTTTTCTCTTGGAATTCAGGAATTATACCAGACAGGTCGCCAACTAATCCTGGGATTTGGGGCAGCCTTTCAAACTACAGATTTTTTTTTTTTTAAGATTTTATTTATTTATTTGAGAGAGAGAGAGTGAGAGAGCACAAGAGGGGGGAGCAGGAGAGGGAGAAGCAGACTCCTCGCCGAGCAGGGAGCCCGATGCGGGACTCGATCCCGGGACTCCAGGATCATGACCCGAGCCGAAGGCAGTCGCCCAACCAACTGAGCCACCCAGGCGCCCTCAAACTACAGATTTGACTGTGTTTTCACCTGCGGCTAATTCTCTGTATTTGGTCTGCTTTCCCTCCTTTCAGGATTCTCATCACTCATGGGTTGCCTCTCCAGCATCTTTCCTCCAGGTCACTTACATCATTTTCTTCACAATTCCCATTACCATGTTTTTACCTTAGAGACTTTTTCCACCTGTTTCTCAAAACAAGGAATAGGGTTTCTAAACTAGGCTTTCTGGGAGGTTATCATTTCTTTACATATTCAAATATGGTGCAGCTCATAGCAGGTGCCTAGTAAGCACCTGTGGATGAAAGAATCTATCAACTAGTCAGTAACATAGTTATTTTCAGTTTGCAGATTACAGAATATGTGGAGGTAGGTATAGAGGTATAACGATGTGGGTGTACATGTAGATGACTGTTCAAATATAAAAATAATGCTGCACTTGGAAACGTTTGGATTTCTAAGAGTTACACAGAACACACAAATAGGACTCTTACATAAAGGCAATCACGGAATGATATACAAGCAAATATAGACTTTTCAGTGCATTCTGCCATTAATTTTTTTTCTTTTCTAGTTCAAAACAGGAAGCAATGGCCGATGGCGTGCATAAATTTATTGACCGTTGTACTTAATAGAAATCTATGGGTTTCAAGCAGAACACAATTTTTTGAGTTCTATTTTTTTTTATGAAACCATTTGAAATGTTACTTTGTTTTCTCAACTGGGAATGAATATAATCATGCTATTTTAAGGAACAGTTTTTTAATGATATAGAGGAGACTAGAATTTTAAAAGAGAATCTGTGTGATGTTTTAACCATATCAATGTTAAAGCCCCTTTTATAGAGCACCCAGCAGCGTGCCCAGCGCCCACTCATCATGAATAAGGACAATGGAAGTGCTTACCTAAGTATTGCAGACACATTTGATTTGTAAATGCGCATGTTTATGGAATTCTCCATCTTTATCCATTAATTGGAACTTAGAAATAAAAAAATATCAAAAGAAGCCACCATATGTGTCTCTTCCTTCTGAATTTCTTCTTTAATTGAATGGTAGATTGTGATATGGAACACTATCAGAAGCCCAATTATAAATTACATCCTACTATGGCAGACCGTTTAATTGAGTCACTGAGGTATTTCTATTAAGTGGTTTGTTTGTTTACTTATTTATGTATTTACTTATTTAGAATTTATATGTAATAAAATGCACACACCTGAAGCATTCAGATGGATGATTTTTGACCTGAGTGACCATCATCCAAATCAAGATGTAGAACATTTCCATCATCCTATGAAGTCCCTGAGAGGATCCCAAATGCTGTGCTCTCATTAGCGCTGGGGACCACAATGCCCTTCTGGGTTGTGGTTTGTCCAGCATTCTGGGATAGAGTCCCTGTTGCGCCCCCCACCCCCCCACCGACCCCCACCCCCCCGCACTCAGTGGAACTCTGACCTCAGCATGGAGACAGTGCCCCCCCGTTAATGTGAAAAGATTCTCTCACATAGGAACTGCGTCTTGTGTGAAGACCCAGGAGTTGGGGCTATGGCGGATTTTCACTCTGATGACAATTCCAGAGAGCAGTTCTTAGCCCTAGCTTCACAGTAGGATCACCCTAGGAGCTCTCAAAGGACCAATGCCCCTTCCTCCCAGGCTTCAGACCTCAGGTTCTTTGATCTTGCATTTCACGAGTACTTCTCCCAAGAGAGAAAATAATCAGGCCCCAGCTTGCCAGAATGGGTAAGAAAAAAGAAGCCACAAAAGCCCAATAAATAACATTTATCAAAACTTTTCTAGCGCTCCTCGCAGCGTGCCACGCAGTTAAAATACATTACCTCACAAGGTAAGGGCAATTATTGTCATCATCCCTGTTTGATGTGAAAAAAACTGGAGTCTGAAGGATGTGAAGTAACGTGCCCAGACTCATCACTTACCAACAGGTGGAAATAGGCTTGAATTTGGTTCTGTCTGAAACAAAATCTCATGCTCTGAACTACTCTACTGTATTGCCACTCGGAAGGTTTTAATTGATTTACGTGATAATGCGTAGTTATTCCAACAATTCTTACTTCACCTTGATGGGGAGAAAATTGAACTTGAAGTACGTTTTTCTCTTATAAAAAGACGAGATTGTACATATAATTATATGCAAAATAAAAATGTAATTAAAAAACACAAAATTTTTTTTTACACCTTTGAAACCTGGGATTCTATAGACTGCTTCTCTTCAGAAGCATTCGATTCCTACACGGAGCCTCCAGGAAACAGGCTGGTCCCTGATGACATAATGCGTCGTGACACAGCGCACCGTTTACGGTCACTGTGTTTAATTTCCAAGTACGAATAACTCTCACTTGCCACTTGATCCCTAATGTCAGTAATAATATTCCCAATACCAACAACCAAGGAAACATTGTTCTCCGCAAGCCACACCAAACCTCAGTCTTCTGTATGTGACTCGCATCCCCCAGAAAAGAAACCGCAGTGTGCGTGTGTCCGTGTAGATGTTGTGCTCTTGTTGCTGCAGCCGTCATTTGAGTTCACGTTTATGAAAATTAGAAGATGAATTTCAGAAGCATACCTGGGAAGTCACCATCGGAGCAAATAAGCGAAATCTCTGGAATCTCCCCACCCTGCTGTCTCGAGATTTTCCTCCCCAGTGGAGATGATGAACTAAAGGACATGAAATCTCCGCAGGGCGATGCAGCCTTGATTCGGGTCCTCGCAGAAGCTTTCCAGAAACCTCACAGAAGGCAGGTGCCCCACCCGAGAGGGACCGGCTCCATGCACGACTTTTACTGTCCTGCAGACCTCGGTCCCCAACCCACAGGGCTCCCCGTCTCCACCATCAGCCCTCCCTCTCCTGGGGGGGGGGGGAGGTGTCAAAATTGTACAGTCATCGCCTCTTTATCATTTTTGTCTTATTTTCACCTGTCCAAAAACTGTATTAACCTGGACATATGTCCTTAAAAGAATCAGTCATTTTGTGTGGTTCTATCGGTTCATATAATTTCTCCTAATAAATCCTAATACATAAAATATTTCCCAGTATGCACTAACAGATACAGAAGCTTTTAAATTAAGATTTATAAGATTTCCCACTTGTAAACCTAACCTTATAATGTCTATTTTAAGACAACAATTGTCCTCCCAATTAGGATTTTTCCATCAACATCTCCCCTTTATTCTAGGGAAATTCTATTTCCGTCAAGTCTGACAGGAGATATTTTACTTTTCCTCAATGATCTGTATGTTAATATCAAACGTTGATACAGTATTTACTCCCTTCTGGATATTCATACAAGGAACACTCAGTGTGTTGCCTTCATTTAAATATTCCAGTACCCTGGTGGCAACATCATTCCCGCTTAAAGTCCACCTAACCAATGACCTATGTATGGCAAAAGAAACCAGAAAACCAATCTTTTGAGAACAGTCTAACTCGCAATGACTGACTCATTTATTCTAACCAGCTCTAGAACGCCTATCTTGTCACAATTCTTCCACACGCCCTGAGTCAACATCCTTTAAATCAACTGATAGGAGATCTGAGTGGGTGGTTTGTTTGTTCAGTCTGTACAAACATAAAAAACATCCTTTAGATTTTTAAAAAACATTTTCCCTGATAAAACAAGTCTAATGTTGGCAACATGAGAATCAGGCAGCTATTTGGAAGATGTGATAATGATCAGAAAATAACATGAAAAAGAATGGCACGGAAGAACCCATTTTACATTTAACCGTTCTCAGGCTTTAAAAAAATTTCTAGATTTTCTTCAGATGGCTGAATTATTAAAGTTTCAGAATGTCACCAAACACAACAGAACCCTGAAGATAAACGTCACCATGAGAGTTAGTGAGGAAATGAAGGTAGACTTCACTGTCAACATGTACATCTTCATTGTCAGGCAGGAAATCAGAATGAGCCTGTCACTTGCAGTGACCTGTGAGATTAAAATAAACAGTCTGACGTAAGTCAGTATAAACAAGGCCTATTCTTGGGGTTTCTCCCCAAATTAAAACAGTATATTTGAACTTTGATTATAGGGCGCATTCGTTTTGTATAATTGTAGTTTGCTAAAAATAATTGACTTGGGGTCATTTTTCTCTGTGTCATAATGAATTCTCTGAATTTCGGGGAACAAAGAACAGATTGATTTGTTATCATCAGTGATCCCTGTAGTTTGTCTGCAGAAAAATAGTGATCTATTCAACTTCCCAGATTAGTCAAAAGTCTCTGGCATTTGAAAATTCAATCATGTCATAAATTGGAATGTTGTAATTTAAAAAGCACAGCTGGACATCATGTTTACTTCCCTCAATACTCTTCGCTGAGTGACTGGTGTGGGACAGCAACGAGAAGGAAGAGTGAGACACGGGCTGGTCTGTACGGAAGCTGTTCAGAAGCCACTCTTTTGGGGATCATGGATATCAAGTAGGAGTTACTTGGAGGTCTCAGAATTACCTACTGAAAATACAAAATGGACACAGGTTTATGTAAAAAGCAGAAAATAGGAAATAAGGGTACAAAAAAATGAATTTTTTCTGATTTTACTTTTTACACATCCAAATCCTCATGATCTGTGAAAACTCTGGATTAGAGGCTTTCAAATTATTAATGTGTAAAGCACTGAAGACTTCATTGTGCATGGAGGCCCCCAGCAAGGAAGGTCTCCATGTGCTTCTGGGGGTGCCAAGGCTCGGATGCTAAGTGACCCATCTGCGGGTGGGAGGTCAGGCCAAAAGGAGTGAGGCCCGTGCCTGAGAAATAAATGGAGGTGGGTGTGGGGATCAAAGAGTTGGAAAATCGCCTATTGGCAGAGTTGACTAGATGTACAAGTGGGGCCAGGAACAGGATTCAGCAAGACCCACAGCACCAGGCCATGCTCGGGGTCGGGCTCGGCTAGGAACAAAGCACTGGAAGAGGAAGGTACTAGGGTTCCAGGGACAGACTAAGTAGTGACAAGATCTTGCTTTTTGTGCACCTCCCAACTTCCCTTTGGATGGGCACTGCATCTTAATTTGGGCAATTGATTGTCCAATAGACAGCTACCATAGGCATTTATATCCTAGTCACCGAAGTAGATATCAGCTGTGAGAAGAAATTGCAGCAAAATTCCATATATAACCACCCTTTCCCACCCCATGAAAATATTACCTCCGGTCAATTTCCTCAACACATAATCCAAACATTTTGTTAGACACACTGATTTTGCTCGTAAATACAAAAGAGTTTGGGGGATTATTTATGAACACGTTGCTCATAAAAATAAACCTCCAACTTCTGTGTATATACTCCCAGTGGGGATCTAATAGAGCTGCTCGGATTAAACATTATTTCTGGGTGTGTCTGTGAGGGCGGGTCCAGATGAGACTAGCATTTGAATTGGTGGACTGGGCTAAGTAGATTGTGTTCCCCCAGGCGTGTGGGCAGCTTCTGATCCACTGAGGGACTGGAGGGGGAATTCACCCCTTCTGCTTCCTGCCCGCCCGCCTGAGCTGCTACAGCTCCTATCTTCTTGGGCCCTCACACTGGGATTTTCACCATCAGCTCCTTGGTTTTCAGGGCTTCAGCCTCAGACTGAATTACACACCAGCTTTCCCGGGTCTCCAGCTTGCAGATGGCAGATCGTGGGACTTCTCAGCCTCCAGAATCACTGAGCCAATTTCTCATAATAAATCTCCTATATATATCCTCCCGGTTCTGTTTCTTTATGAACCTTCACTAATAGAGACTGAGAGCAGGTTTTTTAATAATCAGAACATCTCTCAGAGAATGGCCAGAGATGATCAGAAGCTTCCCTAGGAACACGGACCTTTAAACTGATGTAGGAAAAAAAAGTGACCTTTGCAAGAAATGTGGCCACGTCAGGTCAGATTTTGCCCTTTCTCTCAAAAGCAGTGCAAACACAAACAGGAAAATGGAAAAACCAAACAAAACACCAAAACACACTTCCATTTCTGTCAAGACCGCAG